ACGTTGGCGATGTTTGGGAAACTGAGCACGCCATGATGTGCAAGCTATGTCTGGGTTAGTAAGGCACAGCGCTGTTGGACTAGAATGTGCAAGCTGTGCTCGGGAATACACAACTCAGTATATGATTGGATCGAAAGTGCAAGCAGTGTTTTGGGATTTCGCGCGCAAGCTATGTTTGGGAATGTAATGTGCAGGCTGTATTTTGTAAGCTAGGGTTGGTGGATAATCGTGCAAGCTATGTTTGGGGATGTATCGTGCAAGCTGGTGTTGGGGATGCCTCGTGCAAGCTGTGGTTGGGTATACACCGTGCAATAGATGTGTAATGCGAACATGTCAGTGCAAGCGATGTCGAGTTTGGGGCTACAATTGTGGCTGTATTGTGTAATGCGAGGTGCTGAATGACTACGATATCGTACGTCAACATACGCACGTCTATAATGACAAGCAAATGCATGCAACATGAACTACCGATGTTTCATTATGCCATACATAATGACGTAGTAAAACCATATATACGTATTGCTGACATACACTGACATTCTTGGTAACATAACGAGACAGTGAAACAGTATGGTATAGAACATGTAATGATGCAATTATTTCGCATATACACAGTCATAAGTTATGCATACACTCATAACACATCACACATACCACTACATACAAAGTTTTATAACTGATATTATACTACATATATTCAGTTGAAATAATTCATTTTCGGTGTTTTAATTAATAAACTCGTCAATATATTTTACTATATGAGTCTGGTAAATATATGAAGTGTGTCTGACGTTTGATACCATATCTGACGTTTGCCTGACGTTTGCCTGACGTTTGATAAAATATCTGAAGTTTGCCTGACGTCAGGCTGTTTTATCAAACGTCAGGCAAACGTCAGGCAAACGTCAGATATGCGATCAGACGTCAGACAAACGTCAGGCAAACGTCAGAATAATAGTTTAACACATTTATGCTAATTAATTATTGTTGTAAATAAAACAATATTTTAGCAGCCATATACGTGTTCAAATAATGTATATTTACCACTTATAACCATATGTTCAATTACATATGTCGTATATTGCAGAACCTACTGTGTATCAATCGACACTGGTGTTATTACACAGTTGTGTATTCTAATAACACACACATATTTTAACGTGAGTGCAATGCGCATGTGTAAGTGCATGTTTCAAACTAACATGTTAGTATACCATGTGTGATCATAATAATATGCGTGTAAGAATGTGTGCGTGTGTGCGTGTACGTCTGGCGTATACCTGTGCTCGAGCCTGCTGCACCCTCGGTGCGCTCGCCGTGGCCCGTGTTCTCGCCCCGCTGAACTTCGTGTTCTCCGTCGGCGCCATGGCGCCGAAAAAGGTGATGAAAACCATTCGGAAGTCGAAGGCCGCGGCGAAGAGCAAGGCGAAGGCGAAGACCCCGACAGCGGCCGAGACCAGCATCGTGCCCTACGGCAAAGCAGGGACACTGGTTTTTATGATATTTCATTTAGCATGGCTGGTGATGACGATGGGAAGTGATCACTGCATGGGCGAGGAATGTGATGATGATGTGCACAGATCGGATCATGGGGGGGTGAGTTTACCATACGGGGTTAAACCACGATGCTGGATGTGACATGTCGGGATGAACTGGAGCACGGATGACATATGGTGACGGGAAATCTGGGCGATACATGAGTAACGAGCTGGTGTATTGAAACATGATGATATATGATCGTCGTCGAATGGTTGCGCATTGATGAATGGGATGATGGGGAGGATGATGCTGATGAGGAGGATGATGAGGAAGTGAGGAGGAAGACTTGGGCGGCCATGCGTACCATGAACTATTACAGCAACCATTGGTTTGTTTCGCGTGCTCGTTGCCGCCATACTTTTCCGTCGGTATATGATCCCCCCCCCCTCCGCGCCCATCCCGCTGCGTTGATCCCAGGGGCGCGCTGGCGAAGCTCATGAAGAAGGCGCAGGGCAAATCTTTCGACGAGAGATGGGAGCTGTTCTGGACTGCTTGTTTATGCCCGATATCGTTGCCTCAGCAGTTTCGATCGATGACGATCGGCGTCGGCCATGTTTCGCGGTCGCGTGACCAATCGTAAATGACGGGGTGTCGGGGGTAATGATGATGAACTACAGTCGGGGTGCTGAAGAAGGAACCTTTTTCGTTTGGGATGGGCTCCGTGCTCCTTGGTTGTCTGATTGTTTGCCTTAGTTCGACCTTCGGTGTTCGAAAGGAAATCGAGGTTGAACTTAAGGAAAGACGGTGCCTCGTTCAGTATTCATCGTTCCTTAGGTCAGCGCCCCGACTGTATGAGAGGAGCGGATGGGGTGACATATGCGATTGGGACACGTGGGTGCACTTGAACATGCGACATGCGAGATACATGTGTGATCATAGTTGTCGCATCCGCAAATTATCGAGGACCGTTTCGGCTGATGTGCCCGATAACGCCCGCTCTCAGCAACGAGGGCAACCCCGACGAGCCGACGCAACTCAAGGCGTTGTTTTCGCCTGATGAATTGAAGCGCTTGTACGGCCAGTTCGCCACGGCGCGCGGCAAGAACAAGACGGCGACCGCTTTGTTTTATTGCTTTCTTGGGTGTTCCCTCGATTGCGACTTATAATATGGCATTGTGCGTTGCAGAGGCCATGGTCTTTATATGTTAAGGTATGTAGGTCTCGTGTTGCTGCAATTTGCAGGGTTGCCGATGTGTTGGGGTTGGTGCGTCCATTGATGTTGCGATGCATGTGTTTGAGACGTCGCTTGCTCGGTGCCCCCCAAACGCCGCGTGAAAATGCTGCCGCTCTATAGGCGATTGAGGCGACGGCTGGCACGAAGAACGAGTCCAAGCTCAAATTGCTGGGCGGGTGGATGAAGGACCCGTCAGCTGTTTTCGCGATTGCGACAGCGCGTGCAGACGTTGATCTATATGTAGTGGCGTTTATATACGCACATAGATGTATGAAGGGGGGAGTTGGGATGATGTGGGTCGGCGTGTGTTGATATAGGGAGATGGCTGATATATATATGTATATATATATATGGAGTATATCGCCGACGAGATATATACATATATATACATACATACGTATACAAGGATGGGGATGATGGGGATCTGCATGCGTGGATGCGCACTAGGTTGTCGATGACATGAGCTCGGCGCATTCAGTTGCAAGCCTTGCAGTATGACGGCGGGCACGGCGATATTTCCTCTCCTCGACATGGCCTCCTCTCTACGCCATCTCCCCAACGCTCATTCCCGAAGTCAAAGCGCGTGGCCAGGACCCGCAGTTCGAGGAGGCGTACTGGTCCGTGCCCATCGGCATCGGCTTCCAGGAGGAGAGCTCGGCCAAGAAGGAGTGGAAGAGCGAGCACCAGCTGCGGCAGAAGTACGGCGACGATGAGGCGGAGGAGCTCATGGGGATCCTCAGGCGTCGCATCCTGGTTTGTGGTTGTCGAAACGTCACCGCGCGACGCCGATTCGTCTGGGCGGGTGGGGGTACATGTTTGATATGGCCAGGTATCGCGGCCATGACGTCCAGTTTACGCGAGTTGAGGGTGATGCTTGCGAGTTAGAGGGGCGGGACGGGATGGTGGTAGTGGAGATGATGAGTGGCGGGGTGAGGATGATGAGGATTCTGGGGATGGCGAAGGTGCGGATGATGAGTACATATGTCGCCTGGATGCCATCTTAGAGGCGTTTCGGACAGTCTTGAGCCGAAACCTTGTGCGAGTAAGATTGTGTTCTGCCGTGAGGCGGGCCCGCCCTCCAGCCAGGCGCAGGCGCAACCCGATCAACCCGAAGCGCAAGCAGTGGCAGGACGTGACCGAGGAGGAGTTGAAGACCCTCCGCAGGCAGCGGTTCACAGAGGGCAAGGGCGGGCGCAACATCTCCAAGAACGAGCTGGCCGATTTCACCAAGCGCTTGAAGGGCAAGATGCACGGCGACACTCGCAGAGGTGTTTTTTTTTGTTTTGCATTGTATACCATGATGGGGAGACGGTGAATGAACGGTTGATGGTAGATGTGGATGAAGGATGATAGAGTAGGTGGGTGAACTGTTGATAATAGAGGAGGTGGGTTGGGGATCTGGATATGAGGATGCAGGGTGATCTAGGAGGTGGATGAAGGATGATGGAGTAGGTGGGTAACGGATGATGGAGTAGGTGGATGAACCGTTGAGGATAGAGGAGGCGGATGAAGGATATAGCGGGTCGGTTGAGGAGTGGATAGAGGAGGTGGGTGCAGTGAAGGATGATTGAGTAGGTGGGTGAACGATTGAGGATGTATGAGGCGGATGAACGGCTGATGATGAGGAGGATGACGGTGGCGATCAGGATGGCTGTGGAGGGCAAATTGGCGGGGCAGATGCTAGATACAGATAACGTGCTAAACGATCTTCCAGCTACCATCGACAACATGGGCCTCGAGAGCAGCGGGGACGACGGCGACGCGTTCGCCACCGAGGACGACGACGACGAGGACACCCAGCCCCTGGTCCCGAAGGGGGGCGGCAACGGCGGCGGCCGCGGCGGCCGCGGCGGCGGCCGTGGCGGCGGCCGCGGGCGAGGCCGTGGTCGGAGCCGCGCTGGCAGTGCGGGTTCGGGCGACGCCCCGAAGGCTGGGGCGACGACGACGGTGGTCGGTCGTCGTCGCCGTCGTCACCGTCGCCGACCCCGTCGCTGTATTCGTCGCGAGCCCCCCAGCTCGCCAGCCAATGTGCGACGATATCCGCGCTTCGCCACCTGGGCTCGACACATAGAATTTCAAGGCGTCGGGGTCGATATGTCGACCGTCGCCCCTCAAACCACCCTCCCTCCTCCTCATTGTCCTCTAGTGAGCCCAGTGCCAATCCTTGGTCCTGGCTCGTCGTCGCTCCTCGACCTCCTCCTCGCCCCCTCCCTTGACCTCGGCGAGGGCGGCAGCGACGGCGGCGGCGCGCCAGGCTGCGAGGAAGGCCAAGACCGACAATGGCAAGAAGGGCCTCAAGGACGACCTGGAGGCCATCGTGCACTTCGAGAAGAAGAGCTGCCCGAAGGGCAGGCTGACTGACACTGCCCAGTCCTTCTACGACGCGATCCAGGCCGCTGGTCGTCGTCGCCGCCGTCGCCGCCGTCGTCGTCGTCGCCGCCGCCGTCGTCGTCGTCGCCGCCGCCGTCGCCGTCGTCGTCGTCGTCGTCGTCGTCGTCGTCGTCGTCGTCGTCCTTCGTCGCCGTCCTTCGTCGCCACCGTCGTCGTCGAATTCCATGTGTTTGTCCCGCGCGGCCCCCCTTAACGGGTAAAAAAAATGCTGTCTGTGCATGACTGAAAGCGCTCAGCAATATTGAAACCCCCATTGGTTTTTGACTCATCGGGGGGGGTCGCACGGGGAAAACATATGGGAACGTTGCCGTCGTCGTCGTCGTCGTCGTCGTCGTCGTCTCGTTGTCGTCGTCGTCGTCGTCGTCGTCGTCGTCGTCTCGTCGTCGTCGTCGTCTCGTCGTCGTCGTCGGCGTCGCCGTCGTCGTCGTCGTCTCGTCTCGTCGTCGTCGTCGTCGTCGTCGTCGTCGTCGTCGTCGTGGTCGTCGTCTCGTCGTCGTCGGCGTCGGCGTCGGCGCCGTCGCCCCTCCCCCTGTCCGCACCAGGCGCTCATCCCGAAGATGATGGGCGCCGTCAGGGCCAAGGCGGACGGGGGCGCGACAAAGTCGGAGATCAATGAGGCCAAGAAGGCGCCGTCTTTTTTTGGCGGGGGCGCTGGGTAGGATGAGGTGGAGTGCGAGGAGTAGGATGAGGTTGAGCATGAGGAGTAGGAGGAGGTGGAGTACGAGGAGTAGGATGAGTAGGGAGACCAGAAGGTTGAGGTGGATGTGGAGCAGGGCGAGTAGGAGGTGGAGTGGGAGCATGACGAGTATGAGGCGGAGTAGGAGTAGGACAAGTATAAGGTGGAGTAGAAGGAGCAGGAGGAGGCGCAGGAGGAGTCGGAGGAGTCCTGCGATTTATTCGTGGAGGGCGAGGAATAGGAGGAGGTGGGGTAAGATGAGTAGGATGGGTAGGTGTAGGGTGGTTGGAGTAGGAGGGGTGGGTGAGCAGGATGAGGCCGCCGATGACAACCGAGCGCTGCATCGCCAGGCGCTCGAGGCCGTCCGCTCCAGCGGCAACGAGCTCGGCGACGTCCTCGCCGACTCCAGCAACGAGAAGCAGGTCATCGCAGCGCTGGAGGGCGCGAAGGTCGCGGTCATGGGCGCGAAGGAGATCAAGCTCAGCATCCCAGGGGTGCTATGATCGCGCTGGCCAGCTCTCGCGTGCAAATGGTGGTGTGGAAGCACGGTGGGATTGGCTGGGGGGTAGAACGCACATGCTTGCATACAGGATCTGGCTTGAATACGGAACACTTACGTTTCAAAAAGGGCTCGGCCGTTCCTTTGGTTTGGATGCGTTCCGCTACCTTTTTGGTGGCGAGACCCCCTGGTACTTCGTAGACTTACTTCGAAAAAAGTGGTTTCGTTCCGTACGTATCGTTCCTTAGGTCAGGCCGAATCTTGTACGCGCGTGTACATAAACGCACATATGCGTGTTCCCCACCAAGACAGTGATTGCACTTGGCGTCTGATCTCGCGCAGGAACTACCGAATATATGAGGCGCACGGCGTGAATAGCTTACGCGGTGTATGGCGTATCTGATTCAGATGGCGTGTAGAGGCTTACATTGTTGATGTGGTTATTAATATGCATACACGGCGTATTATGCATGTACTAGTTTTGTGGATTGTATAGTTATTATGTTGCATGCTAGCACCACGTCTATGTAGTATACAGATGGCGCAGTTTGATGGTATGACGTAGGCGTATGATTGTACACGGCTGGGTTTGACTGATATACCGTATATGGTGTGTGCGGTGTATGATGCGTATGCTGCGTGTGGAGTACTGTTGAGATGGCGTGTATGGCGTGCGTTGATTGACGTTTCGTTGCGGCGCTGTCCATTCATATACATCGCCTCGCACTGTGTTGCATTGTTTTGCATGGCTGTGCATCGACGCGCATCGTGTAGTAGTGTTGTTGCGGCGCATGCGCCGCGTGGTCGCTGTTCGGGGTCCACGCTGGCTAGCAATGGCTCGCGTGTAGATATGCAGTTGTGTCTACGCGCACGCGTTGTGTGTATGGTTGCACGCAAACGTTTGCGTATGCATAGATGTATATATAGATACATAGAGAGAGAATAGAGAGAGAGAGAGAGGGGAAGAAAGATCTGTTGCACAATCGTGCGCCAAACTGTGGGAGCACATCGTGCGGGCATGCGCTTGTATGAGCACATGTGGGAGAGAGATCGCTGGCTTCTGCTAGTTCGGCTGCCTGGCGGGCGACGCCGTCGCCAGTGCTGGTCGGCGACAGTTGATTCGAGGCACCGAACGTGTTTTTTTGTGCCTGCGTGCTGGTCGGTGACCGATGTGCCGAGGCACCGAACGTTTATTTTGTGCCTGCTCGATGCGCCGAGCACGCCGACTGCAGTGGCTTCCGACACGGGAGTAGCGATGCGACGCTAGAATTCACCCACCTTACACCTCCCCCCCTCCTTATCGGTTGGCGGGGGCCGCGGGCAATCGTTATCGACGGGATGTGGCTCTCTGACCGCCTCAGCCTTCTCCTCCTCCTCCTCCTCCTCCTCCTCCTCCTCCTCCTCCTCCCACCGTCTCCTCCTTCCCCCCCATCCTTGTCCTTCTCCTCCTCCCCCCCGTCTCCTCCCCCCCCCCCGCCTCCTCGGCGGGTGGGTGGATGCGTGTGCGGGGGGAGGGGAGGGGCGCGGACCGTCGGTCTCGACGGGCGTTGGCTCTGTGACCGCCCTCTCTCCCTCCTCCCCCGCATTCTCACCCTCCTCCTCGTCCGACTTGGGGGTGATGGGAGGGCGCAGCCACCGCGTCGCATCCAGGAGCGCACCTTGTCCCGAAGCCACTGTTTTGCCCGAGCATGCAGCGAGGGCGAAAGCGTAGAATCCAGTCGCCGTCTCCATCCCCAGAATCAGTGTCTGACTCTGGGTCAGATGCCTGCAATGCACGCGCGGTGGATCTCGAGGAGAGGACCGACGAATCGTCACTATCTACTGGATTGCTTCGAGATTGGGCGTGGGGAAAGTGCTACGCTACAGACGTGCAGCGCCACGCGCTGTCAGCATACAAGGACGGGCTAAGAGGCGTGAAGGAGCTCGCATATCTGGCATCGTTGGGGGGGGTGGGGCAGCCGCCCAGATCACATCCACCGTGACCTGACCAACAAGTACCTCAAAACTGTATCATCCCCTCCGCCCGAGGTTTTCAAGGTCCATTGTTTAGATCCATCGACGTTGAAAGTGATACGTCACGATATGCACGCCCTCTTGCCTCGCGACCTGTTCGCAACCATGTATCACCACCACAGGTTAGAGTTCAACGAATTCTTTGGAACGGAGTTCCTTCCGCGCTTCTGGCGAGGCGCCAGCAGGCGTGGTGTTTGAAATTAGCTTCTGCGCCGCGTGTCGGCGCGGCATTCGGCAAGCGCCAGTCTGGGCCATGCACAACGTCAGGGTGGCGGCTGGCAGACGCCAGTCTGACGTGTCAAAAACGCCAGGTTGGCGGTTGCCAAACGTCAGCCTGACGTTTCACAGACGTCAGACTGACGTTTGCAGAACGTCAGACTGGCGCATGGCAGCCTTCAACACACCAGACTGGCAATTGTCGGATGCCACGCAGACATCGGGCTCGAATACTGCACCATCCGTCTGAGTTTTGTTTGGCGCCCCGACCCCAGGCGTGATCCGCGCCTCCAGGGCCATCCTGTTTGGGACGTTCCTCGCCACAGCAGATATTGCGTTCCGATGCGGGTGCACGGTGATGGGGGCGAGGTCATGACGAACGATTCGATGATGGTGATATCGTTTTCGGGTCTCCTGGCGCGCGGTCAGACCAAATACGCCAGGTTCCTCTGCGCGGTTTGGCCGTATTCGGTCCAAGCTAAACGGAAACATCATGGGGAGGACACGTGGGGCGACGCTTTTCAAGTAATCAGATGGTCGCTCAACGCATTGGCGTCGGGGCGGCATCCTACTCGTGATTTGGCAGACTATCGTCGATGCCGCCGACCTCGCATCCCCCCCCCGCCGACTGTCACACAGATCCCATGTTCGCGTTGTAATTCAGTGTTGTTTGTGTTGTTCTTGGCTGGGGTGCTCTCTGTCTAGAGGGCGGCGCATTGGAATGGAGATCGCTTCCCCGCTGGGAGCATGCGCGCAGATTTGCAAGGGCAATACTTGTGCGAGGAGGCTGCTCCGCACCGTGGCTTCCTGTACGCAATTATGGGAGACCTCGAGTTTTTCAATCACTATTTAGGCACGCCAGGTCGGACGCGGCCAGACGCGATCCTTGCCCTGCCATTGTTTTTTGTTTGAAACAAAAACAAGGGGTCAGTTGGCCTCCATGTCGCCCCGACGATGCCCATCATGTACCACGGCGTCCCGAATTCGAAAAGAAAACACAAACAAATGGCACAGCGGGCATGGATCGCGCCTGGCAGCGTTCGGCCAGGGCCGAGTTCCTATAAGCCGTGCTGGCTTTGCGATGGTGATCGAGGAGGCAATCCGTGGAACGACTTTGTGAAGGATTTCGGTCGTCATTCCCCCCCCCACCCCATTCTCCATGACCCCCCCCAATAATCGTAAGTTGTGTTTGGTACCATCCAGGATCGCATCCCGAACCACTGGATGCGACAAGCAGAGCCTCGGGATTACGTGTTCGTGCACGCCCTGTTCACCGTGTGGGGTGTGCGCGCCGCCACGATTGCCATAGATTTAATGCACACTGGCGACTTAGGCATCGTGTCTCACCTAGTGGGCAACACGCTGTACGAAATTGTATACGAACAGATCGATAAGTCGCCAAAGGATGCAGTTTCAGACGTCTGGAAAAGAATCAAACAGATATACGATGAGCTCGGAATTACTGCAAATATATTGACATCCATTCGCTGGCGCGAACTATCCGACGGGATGGGGGAGGGGGGCATGCGGGGATCCATGAACTCAATATGGAACAGCGCGCCGCCTTACACTAGCTAACAAACAATGGCATGCCATATAACAAAATCCATGCAAAACTAATATTGTTATCAAATAACAGCAACATATCACATGGATCGGGGAGGGCGGGGTCGAACCACCCATCTGCCCTGGTTTGTTCTGGGGGCGCGGGCGTTTCGGGCTGAAATATTTCGTCCACGAAAAGGCCGTGTCAATGAATTACCCGTGCATGACGACAGCATCAAAAGCTGCGCACCAACGCACGCTGC